AGGAACGTCACCAGGCAGTTTCCACGTAATGCTGCATGACGGCATTACATGCTATAACAGTCTCCCGGGCCTTACAACCCTTGCTTGAAATGCCTATGGCGCTGGAAAATAAGTGACTCTTTATTAGGTCCGAGAACTGTCGACAGTCTAATATTTGGGGTGTAAACATCAGACAACACAGTTTCCAAAGTAAAATAACATTACGTTCATATTCTACAAAATTCACATTTATAATTATAGTAACAATGGAATTATATGATAATGTAATTCATGACTATGATTCATTTTTTTTGAGACCACATGGAGGGAGGGGGTCAATTCCCCATCAAGGTCAAACTACATGAATATAATGGAGACGCTTTCGGTGACATAGATGCACTGACCCAAAAAACAAATTGGAACAGGACAGAAATCTTGGCCCCCTCTGAACTTTGAATCAATTTCAATTAATTTTTCAAACACAGACGTTTTGGAAGTTATTCTTTCTAGTTGACCCTGTTCGTATTCTGACAGGGAAAAGGCTGTTTTCGGGCGACCTCATTGAAAGCTATTCAGTGAAATCGACTGAGCTCCTCACAAGATACGGTAGCTCCACAGAGCTCCCCAGATAGCAGGCCGGGAACGGTTGGTTAGATTGTGATCACCTCCCTTACCTGCCCATGTACTTTGCATCCATTTTAAATTTGTTAGTTTATATATGACATCCTGTTTGAAGAGTGGTGGGTCAGTGAGTAGTATTTCTGCTTCTGATAATGCTTTTAACTTGTCATCTGAAAGATCACCATCATATTCAAAACCTTTGCCTTTAAAAAAACACAAAAAAAAAACAAGTTAAACAACATCACATTCAACGACATGTTAATGACATCGACAATGACGACAGACATACCATTGATGATGAAAGGATGGTACTTGATTAGCCCCTAAAAAGATGACTTTAGAACAGTGTTTTGCTTTCTTTCTTCTACACATGAACAAATCATATCAAAAACAACAGAAGGTAGCCTTATTTTGTGTACTGTAAAATACTTTATTTTCACTTGCTGAAGGGATTAATCAGTTAAAAAAAAATAAAAAATAAAATCCAGTTTGAAAATATTTTACATTCAACTCATCAAAAAAACAGTGAAAAAGTAAACTGTATAAAAAACAGCTAAAATAAAGTACTGTGGAATACTTTATTTTCGCTGGAATTAATGAATAGACTTTTTGGGCGTTTTGTATGGAATTTATTTTCACTGATTTTTGATGAGTTTAATGTGAAATATAGCAAAAAGTATAGGAAAAAAAGTATATACGCTGGATTTTATTTTCACGGAATCATCCCTTCAGCGAAAATTGCGAAAATTAATTCCAAGCGAAAATAAAGTACTGTGGAGTACTTTATTTTCGCTGGATTTAATTTTCACTGAAAAGGCTTTTTGGGCGTTTTGTATGGAATTTATTTTCACTGATTTTTGATGAGTTTAATGTGAAATATGGGAAAAAAAGTATATTCGCTGGATTTTATTTTCACGGAATCATCCCTTCAGCGAAAATAGCGAAAATAAATTCCAAGCGAAAATAAAGTATTCTACAGTATTATACAGTGCGTGCGGGTGGGGGGTGAACTTTTACACTAAAGACTAAGTATTAAAGTGTGGACTGTTTTTTCTTTTACAGTACGCACTACCATGCCCCAAAGAAATAATCATCCCACCAGTGTACTGTTTTC